GAATCGTTAGATCCTCCAGGCTAAAGGCAAGTGGTCCACTGCCCTCGTAGCGTACCGAGAGACCCAACTCCTGCAGCAAATCGATCAACGTGTCGCTGTTCAGGAAGTGAGCGCTGGCCTTTAGCTCCTTGAACTTGAAATGGAACTGAACCTTCTTGTTTAAGGTGTAGCTGACCTTTAGCTTCTTGATCTCCATGGTATCCAAGCCATCGAAACGGAAGCGCAGAAACTGCAGCAAGGAACTGATACAACAATAAACTAAATTGAAGAGAAGTCCTACAAGTTGCAATCATTTGAGAACTCACTCAACAACCGATTCAGCCAAATGAATATTTAGTTCAGCATTGGTGTAGGGCGCCAATGGAGGAATTCCGTATTCAGGAAAGCCACAGGGCAGATGTTCCACCAAATTCTTCACGGCCTTCTTGGCCTGCGAATTCAATATCAGGCCATACACTTCTGGGTTTTGGGCTGAGCATCGGCAGAGGCGGAGAGATTCAATCCGTTGAAAATAAATTGTAAAAGTCTTCAAATTCTAATTGAACTTACGATTGGGATCGGCAAGTTGATTAAACTCATCCTCGGTCAAGAGGTCCACCTCATAGGCCGATGCACAGGCCAAAAGGGTAACAAAACAAACTACGCCCAACTTCATTGTTTGGCTTTTTAGCTAATTGGTAAATGGCTAAGGCTCATGGCTTTTATAGCCAGGATTTACACTAAGTAGATGCAGTTGGGGTTTATGACCAAAGCCCAGCTAATCCATGCGGAACAAAGCCCATATAAATCATCTAACCAGAGATTAGGCTTAGCAATTTGCACAAATTATATTTAGATTGATAATTTCGCTTATAATTTATATCATACTCTCGAAGTAGCTACGGTAATCGGCCCATCGTTATATATAGAGCACTATAAGGAAAGTACAAAACACTTGTAGTCTAATCTTGACATCTTGACATCCCCATCCAAATGGCCAATCAATGTGTCCCAATGATTTATTTTCAAATATTTTTTTATATATACATATATATATGTAGTCAAATTTCATATACGAGCAATTAGTGCGTCAAATGTTTTTTTTTTCGCAGGTGTTCTTCGATAGCTTCAGCAGGTGTTCTCACATACCCCATAGACAACATACAATAGACGATCACACGTAGAGCTTACGACTGTAACAGTTATAAATCAATTCAATAAACTTTTGATTGTTTTGATTAAAGGAGCGATAGCTCGTTAAGAAATATAGGAAGTTTCGTTTAAAATTGAAACCAACAAAGGTTGCATATAGTTCTATTATATATACTATAAGACATATTTAAATTTAAATTGGTTTCTTTTATTTTTTATAATTGATATAAATTCATTTTTTATTTTTATTTAAAAAAAAAATTTTTTTTATTCATTTATAATTATTTATTTATTTATTTTTAATTATATATATTTTTTAGAAATTTATTTTTTAATTTTTATAATAATTTTATAATGAACTATTCAATCCAGGCTAAGTTCTAGTAAATTCCTTGAATTGTCGCCCAGCCCAGCGCAACAAATTTTCAATACTGCCTTTTGCCTTATCATTACATCTTAAAACCTATAAATAAACACTTTTCAACAAGTTGATTGAAAGAACAATAAGATTATAAATCACTTCAATTCCTACATCTAATCCATCTTAAGCTCTGTTGATAAAGCGCTCATTGTAAATCACATAGAACAGCCCACAAAGAGAAGAAGAAGAAAACCCTTGCCCAATCAAGAATCAGGAAACTTGGTTAGGTCATGGTGATTCGCCAACAGAAAAAGAAAGACTAAGAAATTATTAATAAATTATTAGCCGCCTCTCCCTTTGGCCCATCTCAACTTTTGATAGACAAGATAAGTAACGGCTTGTTAATTAAGAAATGGACTTCAATATATTTAATATATATATATTTTTTTTTTGCCAAAAATCGTTCAGATTAGACCCTGTTGTAGTATGTCCAACAATCGATGGCTATGGCGATTTTATTATCGACTTCGGTAGCTCTTATCAGCGGACCCCATGTGGTGAAGTGGGCGTCTATAAAAGCCAGCTGGACGTAGACCATAACGATCAGTATAAATACAATTGGCATTTGGTTCAGTTATTATACGAGAGAAAAATATGAAACTCTTTGTGGCTCTATTGGCGCTTGTTGCGTGCGCAAATGCCGCTGCTGTGGGCGACTCGATTGGTGAGTGGATAGAGACAGAGAGAGGGAGAGGGAGAGACAGTCAGAGCTCAGCTAATTTGGTTTCTGCATTCTCTTAGATACCAGATCAATCTCCAGCACAGTGGTTGATGTCATTGAGGGCATGAAGGAGCAGATGCCTTGTGGCTTCCCCGGCCTGGGCATCCCGCCAATTGCTCCGCTTCGCATCGATCACCAGAACATCGATATCGATACGGATGCACTGAAAATGAAGGGCAGCGTCGAGCATTTCCGTCTCAATGGCCTGAACGACTTTGATATCGAGGAGATGAAGGTGAATGCCATCAGCAGCAAAGTGAACTTCAAGTTCAATTTCCGCGACGTCAATGTGGACACCATCTACGACATTGATATGCAGCTGAAGAAATATGGCTTCACCATCAAGATGATTGGCGCCGGTCATGCCAAATTCGCTATCAAGGATATGTCTATCTGGGGCACCTTGAAATACTCTCTGGGTGTGCTCAACGGCAAGCTTAAGCTGAAGACTCTCGATGTGCGCACTCACTTGGGCTCTGTTGAGTCCGAGATCGAGGGCATGCTCGGCGATGGCACCGTTAACGAGAAGATGAACGATTATCTGGCCGAGGCCGTTGAGATGGTCATCAATGAGAACGAGGATCTGATCGCCGAGACCATTGAGAGTGTTGCTCTGCCCGCAGTGAACAGCGTTCTGGACGATATCAGTATCACCGATATCATCAATAGCGACGGTGAGGGCGGTGAGAAGGAGGTCTGCATTCCCCCAGAGCTGGACTAGTAAACAATATGTGAAAAGCTTCGTATTTGATTAAAGCCTTCTTTGTAATAAAAGAATAAATAAATACATTAACTTTCACTTCAATGGAGCTCAAAACTTTCTGTTGGTTCCGAAGTCTTTTTAAGTGTGGCAAGGAGCAAATAGATAATTGACTAATTATGATCTATAAACATTTCCTATAGGTGACACAGTCTATAGATCTATATAGACCTTAGTTGTAATCTTGAATTGTTGCTTTCGATAAAAAAGAAAATTTGGCTTCATTATTATATAAATTAATTTTATATTAACTATGCACATATGTATTCATAAAAAATGTTATATTATTCCTTATTAATGGGAATTCGGGTATATAAAAAGTCCTATACCTGATTGTAAGACAGTGCCTGATGGATAGATATAACATAGAGAGTGTTAACCCGCAGCAAATAAAACGCGAAATGTTTAGCAAATAAATCTGATTTATTGATTTGGACTGTGGTTGAGTAGAAGCTGTAACTCTTCAAAAAGCAAACCAATCGAGTCTTCAATTACCACAGAGTCCACCCCAGCCCAGTGTAAGACGGTTAGTATACAGGTATGCAAATTATTAATAGCCCTTCATATGTCTTACAACGTCAGAAAAGATATTATCGGCTACATCAGGTTCATTCAGATAGGCTAGGATCTGATGCCAGGTACTGATAATATATAAGTGCAAATTAAGCGGAATTCTAGTAGTGTAAAGCATTTGTGGACTCACTCAACTAGCGATTGAATCAAGTTTAAATTTGACTTTTCGTTGATATAGGGCGCCACTGGATGAGCAACATATTCTGGAATGCCCTTGGGCGTCAAAGTCTTCACGGACTTCATCTCCATCGTCTCATAGCCCAAAGACAAAAAAAAAAACTGACATTAATCTACAGAATTAAAGACATTTCGATGTGAAGTGAATTAATGTGAAATTGTTTTAATAAATAATATTAATTATTGTCGATAATTAAAACGAAGTTTAATTTGAAGGTGTAAGCGAATTCAAAATCAAAAACGTAAGTGGATAACTGAGTTTTATCATAGCTTCTTCGCAGCATTGGCTACTTAATAAGGGGGCGCTCTCTCTCTCAGAGCATTATCCATTATCCATGCCATCGGCTCTGCTATACATATGAACACATATATGGACGCTATACTCAAAAGCTCTCTCTCAGCTGCAATGACAGCTCTGCTGATAAAAACCCTCCGTCGCTACTGTAGTTCCTGCCTGTCAGCCATCTCTCTCACTCTCCACACTAACACCTAAACGGGATCAAAAGCTCAAGATAATTGAGGTATTTCGCACACTCGCTTGAGTGAAAAGCTTTCTCTCAGCGCTGTAATCCCAATCAGCAATCGAGCAATTCTCACACATACATACACATATAATTGACGCCTATAATATGTCGGGATAAAGCGCGTTCAGCAAATGCTTGTGCTCAGAGCAAAGATTTCTGTTAACTTTGCTGCTTACATTCTTATTAGCATTTATGCTGTTAATCTTGCATTTGAGAGTTTTCCCTTGTGATTAAGTGAATATTTCTGTTAACTCTGAAGCCGGCATTGCTGTTAACATTGCTGTTAGCTCTGTGAGCATTTACATATTTGCTACTTTCACATTATTTTTAATTCAATATTTAATTCAATATTTAATGTAAATAAAGATAACAAATTATTATACAAAAAAAAAAAAAATAAATAAATAATAATCGTTAGTTAAATATTATCGTTTCATCTTAGCGTGCTTTCACTGTAAAGCTTTTCCTCAGAAGTTTGTTAACGTCCTTTTCAAACGGTCTCAAAGCTCTTCAGGCGTCGATCTCCTTAATCTAATGCCTAATCTTAAGTTGTTGAGCTTATCAGCTCATTTCAAATATATTTATATTTTTACTATTTACTTATTCGTTTAAATGTTCACATGCTAAGCAATTAGTTCTTGCGCTTTATCAATGGACATTCGAGTGGCTTATAAAAACTTTCGCCAACTCAGCCGAGGTGCGCAGTTAAAATCAGGTGTTGGCAGCGACAAGTTATTTAAGAATACAAAATATGAAGTCTCTATCTTTGGTGGCCATTATTTTGGCCCTGGCCGCATGTCAGGGGGCGGAGGTTGCTGAAAAATTGGGAGGTAAGTGGAAGGAAAATAATTTGATCGATTTTTCGCGACACCTTGCAGTAAGACAAATGTTTGATATTGAGTATGAATCGATTAAATTAATTAAGTTATTAATATATGACATGAATTTAATATAACTGATTTCATGTTTATATATAAAAACTCGAGGGATTTAACATAAAGTCAAATTTCCAAAATAAGTGTATGAAATTATATATTTTTTGGTTTTCTCGAAAAGCCTTAGACAGGCCTATGTTTCAAGTTTAGATATATTCTCTATATTCTCTAAGGACTGCCTCGCCCTCACTCTCTCTCTCACACACACTTTCTGTCAAACATGTAGTATGTTCTTAGACGCATTATACCCTGTTAAACCAATTTTAATAAGTATACAACTATAAATATCGGGAAATTTATCCATATGAGACCATATTTTATATACTTGCTCAAATCATCATGTCTATTACATCAATTTCCAAAAATATATCATACTCTGTTCAACTATTTTTAAAGGGTATATATGTCAGCAGTAGCTCAATTGAAGATGATTAAATCCATTTGCCTTTACAGCTCAATCGCGCTCTATTGCCAGCATTATTGTGGATACCCTGGAGCTGGTGAAGGTGCAAATGGTCCAGGGCTGGCCACAGTACGGCATTCCCCCCCTCGCTCCCCTACAACTTAAGCACAAGGAGTTCGATTTGAATGCCGGCGAGCTGCACGCCAAAGGCGCTTTCGATGATCTGACTGTGCACGGCCTGAACGAGTTCGAAATTAAAATAATTGACCTGAATCTGTTGTTGAGCCGCCTTAAGTTCGAGTTCCACTTCGCCAGCTTAAATGTGTCGACCCAGTATCAGGCGGATGTCGGTGCCAATTATCGCATGACACGCAATGGTGGCGCCTTTATGGCTCTCGAGGATTTGAACATATCCGGCCACATCAAGTACAGCACGGGCATCGTCGGCAGCAACAACTATTTGCGCATCAAGGAGATCATTGTGAACGTTGTGACCGGCAATGTTGTGTCCAACATTGAGAATCTATCCAAATATCGTATACTCAATCAGAAAATCAACGAAATAATCGAGGAGTTCATAAGTCTAACGGTCAACGATAATACGGAATTTTTCGCCGATTGGCTGGATAGCACGGTGACGCCCATTTGCAACGATATGATTGGCGACCGCACAATCAAGGATATTATTGGCATTATTACGGGTTCTTAAATTCCACAATCAATAAAATTACATTTTAGAGAGAAACATTAAACTTTTAATTATGGTTTAGCTAATCAAAGTCATGAAGCGATTTGCACGAGTTAAAAACAACTGTTCGGTGCGTTAATCTAATCGCTTAGATTAGCTTTGCGTGTGGCTAAATTTGTTTTATAATTTCATAAGAGGCAACGATCAAACTTTATACATTCCTTAATAAAAACTTAAATTTAAAATGAAAAAAAAAAAGAATTGTTTATTATTTAAATAGCACATAGCGTATTTATTTTTATTTGATGTAGATTAGCACATATACATTAAATAAAAATTATTATATATAAAAAATAAATCAAATATTATATATTAATAATTTTCACAAATAAATAATTAATTGACAAATGACATCTCCACAATCATTATTAATTGCATTAAATATGTTTGATAATAATTGAAATAGTTCGCACATGCATAATTTATGGCTTTCAAAATGTTTTATAATGTCTGAAAGGCAAGCAGATGGTAAATAAATAATTGTAATTCAATTTCATAAAATGCCCAAAAGTAGGCAACGATAATGTCAATTGTGGCATTTGCAGGGAAATTTAGGAATTTTAATTACAGCGCAAAGGTATGCAACACTTTCTAAGAACCAACGACATTCAACTACATTTTGCAATTCAAACTGCCCATGGTATGTGCGCGGCTCAACTCTACATCGAGATCTGAAACTGTTTACTGTGGAGGAACAGATTGGGAGACACACTAGCCGATATAGTGACAGACTGGCTAGACACCGGAGCAGACTAGCGAGAAGATTGCTTCCTGCGAGACCACTAAGGCGATTAAAACGCTTGGGTTTTGCCAAAAATATTAGATAAGTTTAGTTTAAGGATACTTGTAAATATATATTTGTAAGTCCTCCTGAATACATCAGAAGGTTAGGTTCTATATAAATAATCTAATTGTGTTGTTAAGGTAGTAAACTTGCATTGTACAGATTCAGCGCTTAAAATAAATATACAAAAAAAGCTAAATCTAACATTTGGCAATACTAAATAGCTTAATCAATTATTAATTTATTATTTATACATATCTCTCTCAGTTCATAAATAATAGTTTGGAATAACCGCAGCCAAGAGCCTTTAACAGTATGTATATTTTAGCATGAAAATTTCCCTTTAAAAATCATTGCCTATTTTCAGGCTGTGCGTTTTAAACCTATAGGTTATATATGAAATATATTTCATTCCCATAGTTCCATTTCATTGATTAGGGCCCAATTAGCACTATTTTTGGCATACTAGTTGAGCACCGCCTTATCAATCGACTGGGACACATGAGACAGCTCAAGCGAGGGCAGTGACTTAACCTTGACAGTTCCCAGGGCAATAGTAACAAGAATCAAAGAAACGTGCTCAACTTAACATTCAATTTGTTAATAATTTTGATATGGCTGCGACGCAGTTTCTACTATAAATTAATGTTTCCAAATAAAAATTATATTATCAAAATCATAGCAGGAAAACAACAATTATTTATTTACAATTGTTATTAAAATTTTAATGCAGTCATTGGATACCCTGTATTTAAGTATTCTATTAAATTAAAAAACAAAAAGAAGGAATAATATAATATATAGGAATATATATAAAATAGTAAATCATATATTTATATATACTTATTTAATTTTGAGGAAAGTGCCTAATATTCTGAGAAAAAAACTGTCAATAAACAAAATACTGTATTCATTTGCTTAAGTAATAATACATAATTATTAGGAAAAACTTATATATTTTATTTAAAGCCAATATATGGAAAACAAATTTTTTTCTAATAGCAGCAATATTTTATATCAATTTTAATTGATTTTGGAATACCCTGCAATAATATAAAAATTATTTTAAAATAGTTTTTAAATATTTATAGAAAGTAGCTATGGATATAGGTAAATATTTATGTATTCAAAATATGCATATATGATTTATGTTTTAGTATTATTATGACAAGTAGTCTACACACCCTATAAAAATGCATGGTAAATATGAAATATATGATTTGCCAGAGTATCTGCTAGTTGGGCAAAGTCTTCAGACGTATGCTTAATATTTGTATTATTTTTCATAGACATAAAGATTTGCCCCTTGGTGAGCTGATAAGCAGCCGTCTCCAGCATTTCATCATCTGATTTCTATACCCATTGCCAATGCCAATTTAGTTTGAATTATACGATCGCTAGCTTCAGTTGCAGTTGCTAGAGACAGGGAATCCGATAGAGAAATGCTATACAAGAGATTGCCATTGATATTGCTTGTGGCACAGGTGAGCCGACAGGTCTGCGATTCCAATTGGATTTCGATACAACTAGACTATGATTGCAGTGCCTGCTGGCGGCGCCAGCGCCCTCCCAGCCAAATGATCTGACACAGAAGCAGCTGGAGCAGGAGGCGCACAACGAGACGATCAATTTACTGAACGCTCTATTCCGAGCACAGATCGCTTACTTCGGTGGAGTGCGGGAAAAGCTGGACCCGAAGACGAAGCGCTCAGCGGATATTGCGCTCTATTTGAGCAGACTGAATGCGGCCATAGCTGAGAAGGATTTGGACAGAAAGAACACAATGTGGCAGGATATCTTTGAAGAAGTAAGTTCACTCTCTGTCACTCTCTCTCTCTCTTTCTATCGTGCTGTCTTTCTAAGCCGTAACTTATGATCTATATCTCGTGTAGTTCAACAAAACGTCGCTGCTGTCCAACCGAGTGGAGGAGACGGGCCTCAGCAATTCGGAGTATCAGGCTCTGCTCACGGATAAGAAGCTACAGGAGATTACAAAAAGTTTCGTAGTCGATGTGACCACGTACTTTGTGAAGATGGCACAGTACAGCGGAAAAGTCGTGAAAATAGGCATCGACGAATATATGAGCACATTTGATGACGATAAAAAGAAACATTAATAAAAGTTTAGAACGTTAAGAACTTAATGGAAAAACATTTTCAAATGGGCTGAAGAAGAAACTATCGTTGTTTGAAATTTGCAACATACGATAACGATTACGAGCAATAGTTACTGAATTTGATAGTTGCTGTTCCTAATAATACTAATCTATTAATAGAATGCCTAATAATAGCAACCCCCAATCAGAGTTTCTACATTCGATAGTTCTGCTATCGATAAGCTACGATATACATTTTTGAAACGCCTTTTGAACTATCGATAAGTGCAGTTCCGCATTGCGTGTGAACACAAAGTTCGCCACAATCTTGTTGAATGCAATTACATTCGCTTAATTACATTTCACATAATTGAGCCACAACAAGATTAATTGTCCATTAATTATCTAGATGATTCCATTAACACCTCAATTCAATTATTTATAACGATGCCGCAACTGTACATCGAAATTTGAGCAAACAATTAACGCATTGTGAAATGCTATATGGACATATAAGTGGGGCCTTATATACATATTAACTCTATATTGTATATACATATATCGCGGAAATATCGCTGCTCTGTGCACGCCCACACGTTTGCACACCATTTATGGGCGGTTGGAGAGCGCAGATATAAAACGATGTGTTAAAAATTTTTAAATATGATTAATTTGTATAGTTGAGCCGCATCGCGTCGCGTCGCATGTCACGAATGCCAGAATGAATCATCCGTGGATACGAAGCAGAGATAGAGAATTCGATTCTTTTAAGCTTTAATTGCAAACAATGCAAATTCTTTTATTCTTTTATTTAAATAAGCAATAAGAACCATAACAGTAAAACAAAAGAAGACGTGTGGGTAGAGTTCATAAGAAAGTCCATACAGCTTTTCATGAGAAAGCCATAGAGTATGTGATCCACATATACATATCTTTAATAGCTCAAGCTACTTATAATAACCATATAAGAAATATTAAGTTTATTTTTGAAATTTGAGTTAGCTTTGAGTTGCTGCATCTGGAGTTCTAATTTTTGCCTGATAGTAATATGTTTTCAGTTTAATGATATGAAAATCATGGAATGAGCATAATAGCTATATCGTCATACAATTTTATTGGAAATTGATAAGGGAGAGATTTTGCATGTTTTGTGTTTTCATTTATGGTTTATAGTTTATCAATTATCACTTTTACTCGAAAATGTTTTACTTAGAATTACTACCAAGATATACTATAATTTCGATGAATAATGTGTATGTATATGTATATGTACATTAAATACGTATAAATGCTCTTTGAATTATGGCATATGCTAATTCTTGAATGTAAGCTTAAAGACAATTGATATATGAACCTGAATAGTAGTAACATTTTAGTTAAAATAGTAGTAGATAAAGTTTTAGGAATAGTAATAGAAGTAGTCAATAGTATTTAGTATTAATTAGTAGTCATAGTAGTACTTGAAGCAAATTATTTGTACACTTATAAGCTGGCTATTACTATGTATAGCAAAAGTAGTAATTTTAATCAAAATACATAGTCGAAACATTAATTGTAATGGTATAATATTACTTAAAATAGCAGTAGTAATAATCATAATAGTAGTAAATGGCTTGTTAGATTAGTAGAAACATCAATAGTAATAGTAGTAAAATTTTAGTTAAATTAGTAGTAGAAATAGTTATAGTAAAAATATTCTATCCCCTTGAAAAAAAATTGTTCTCCATAATTATCGATAATTTGAATTTCTGAAAAAAAAAATAAATCAGATGCCCTTGCATTTCGAATTATTGGGACTCGACTGTAGTTGCAAAATTTGAGTTAAAATAGTAGTAGCAGTAGTAAGCATCGCAGTTGGAATAGTAATGATAATAGAAATTATAGTAGTAGTAGAAATAGTACTAGAAATAGTAGTAGTTGTACTGGTATTAACTGTATATATTATATATAGCTGACATTCATATAGCTGATAGACTCATCAATTTGCAGGGCATCGACAGTTCGTTTCACATGCTTATATCATCATTATGAATTTATTAAACTCTTTCTCTTGGTTTTTCGGTTTTCTTCATTTGTAGCACAAAATGGTCACAAAAATTGCAAAATTTGCAATGACAATTGGAAATAGCAAAGCTAAGCAGACTGCGAAAGTATTTTTATTTATTTATTTCAATGCAATTTATGCTATAAATAAGACTAGCCAGGGGACAGCAGGGGGCCGGGAAGTTAGAATGGAATAAGGGCGTGGCTGCGCCAGACAGTGGACACGCATGCCTAAACTGACGCTGGCAGCGCTGCTGGCATCGCTGCCACAGCAGCTGCTGCTGCTGTTGCACACATGTGTCGCAGAAAAATCAACGCAACATTCAAAGCTGCTGAAGTCCCCCTCCCCCTGCATCACTTCCTCCCCTTGCTGACCCATGCCACATGGCATGTTGCGCATTGGAGCATATCGCATAACAATTGCCACTTCCGAATGCTCCACATGCAATAAGAGACTGACAGATAAAGGCCGACAGAGACAGACAGAGAGAGAGAGAGAGAGAGAGAGAGAGTAGCACACATATGTATCAGTTGGGGAATTCGCAATATAAAAGAAACTTTATTTATTTTATCAATATTATTGTACATTGAGTAAAGCAACAAATGGAGCCGACCATAAAATCAACAAACCAAATTGCGATAAGCATTCGACGCTTTATAAAATCAGCAACAGAAGTAAATAAATAAAAAAAATATTAAAATAAATCAAGTTGAGTCTCAAATATGCTTTCAGAAATTTGTGGAATCTCAAATGCAAATATTTAAAAGTTTTTGTTATTGAAACTTGATGCGAACACCATGAGAAACTGAAGCAGGTGAAATACTATGCAAAACTATTTGCCAAAACAATGTAGAAAGAATGCAAAGAGCAAGAAATATGAAAGAAGAATGAATATGCAAAAGGAAAGAATGGTCAAGTAGAAAGCATGCCAAATAAGAATTAGTGAATGGATGATGAACAATGTCAATAATAATGAATAATATTTTAAAGAAAATTAATTAATTTTATTTGAAGCAATTGATTTATGGCATTTTTATACTTGATGAAAGAGTTGAAGAGCTCAATTTGGATATGACATAGTTAGCCATATATATTTATAAATTTATAAGCTATTTTATACAGTTATCAGAGCCAAAAACGGTAAATCTATGGATTGATCTATAGATTACTTTTAATAGTAATTAATATTCTATATATATATATATTTTTAATTTAGTATTCTAATCATTTTGCGGAATTTAACTTTAAATATACCAAAGTGAAAATGTTAAAGCATAAAAACTTTATTCTTTAAACTTCTTAATGAACTTTCAAGTTTTAGCATTCACTTAGCCGTAATGTGAATAATTTAGTTCTACCTATTATTATATTAACACAATTTCATACCATTTTCACTACACTTACTAATATTTCTAGTGCTAGACCTTGCAGACCCATGCATGAGAGTTTTGAAAAGTAACTCAAATACCTTTTTTTAATGTTATTAAAAAAGAAAAACTGGTCAAACAAGTAGATTAAAAATGTCAAGTGCTAAAACCCTACTTCAAAAGCAGAACTTAACATAGAACTGGCAAATGAGGTGAAGAGCTTAGACATATAGAAAATATTTGTACATATAAAATATATAAGATATATTTAAAATTATATAAAATATATATGTTTTTAATATACACATATCCCAATATAAATATTAAAAACTAATCAAATGAGTAAAAATAAAATACTTGGGAAAGACGGCAAAATTTTCTTTTAAGTGTATATTCAGAAATATTTTACTTTTACTTTTAGAAAATTAAAATTAAATATTATTATATTATATTATATATATATATATATGTATATATATTATACATACTCCAATATTTCTTAACTCAATAATATATAACAAATAATATAAAATTCAAAAATAAAAATTGTTGTATATATAAAATATAAATTTATATAAAAACAAACTAAACTTAGGAATAATGACAAATACAAATGTAACAAATATAGATTTGGTATTTTAATTATAAATTCCTATTATTTTGCAATACTTTTTAAATTTCTTTCCAGCTCGCTTACTATTTATTTTTGTCAAATATTCATTTGATGCAAGAAAATCATGTTACCCCATATTTTGTTTAGAGTAAAGCCCAAACAGTTGATGTGGGCTAATTGCAAAAGCAATTGCGATCGCGCTGCCACTGCATATAGAGATAAGAGAAAGAGGGAGACAGCGCCAGAGAGGCAGAGCGAGATGGAGAGGGGTAATTTGTTTCTGGCTGCCGCCTTGGGGCGTTTACTTTATTTTGTTTTTATTATTATTGTTCGGCAGACTTTTTACTATAAGCTAATAGGCAAATATAAACAAACAGACAAACTGACAAACAATTCAGATAAACTAGAGAAGAGAGCTTAGCATTCATTAAAATAAACTGAAACGCACACATGCACACACGTGCACGTGTCTGTGCTCCATTCATATGCTGATATCATCTGAAATAATGTGAATCGATTTCTTTTGTCATTTGCCTGTGGAGGTCGTAGAACCTAATAAATTCTATTTTAAAGACTGATATTTCAATGTAAATACAACAAATAACCTTTAAATTGGGCATGAAAAACAAAGCGAAAAAAAAATCAAGAACAAATAAATATTTTTGTTAATTTGCTATTTTTAAAGATGTGAAGAAATGTTTAGAATCTAATTTTGTTGTTGTTGCCCGACAGCCCCGCAAAGTGAAGAGAGAAAAGTCTTTACATTTTCCTTTTCCTTTTTAAATAAACTGTTTTGCAATCGATTCATTATTATTTAAATTACTTTAATTACACTTTATATAAAAATATTAAACTAAATATATAAAGGACCATAAAAATGTTCTAGATCATTAAAAGTCCTCGAACTGATTCGAAGATTTTTTGTTTATTTTTGATAATCAAGTTACTATGTGAACTTTTTTTTATAGACATTGGCTAAATTATTTTTTTTTTTATTATTCCATTCAAATTGATTTATATTTTAAAATTGCCTTATATAAGCTAATTTAAGTAAATATTTACTTTTAAAGTATTACACATAGTATAAATATAGCTTTGTCTATTACGTTCTAAACAGAGATCTCGCTGCAAAATGATTTCCATTTAACGAGCTCGCACTGTATTTATCTCTAGTGCCCCTTATTTGCTGTTCCAAAAATAGAAACTTTCAATTAAGAGATCAATTTATTCTAACCTCTTTCAAATGCAAATCGCTTTAGTTTTGCAGTCATTTCCCATTCCTCATGCCCCTCTTCTACCGCTTCCCCCTTATATACTTTTCTATATACAGTTATTTGACCCTATTAACTGCGCTCGCCCGTTATATGCCAAAAAAAAAAAAGAAAAGAAACAACAAAACTTTTGATTAGCTAAATGCCAATTGGAACACGAAATCGCCATCGAGCAAATTGCGCTGCGCTGCGTTCGGCTGCGTTTTCAATGCCAATAAGAAAGTCGCGTGCAAAAAAAAAAACGGTTTATAACATATTTATGAGTGCTTTATATACATATAAAAGTTATTCCTGTCTTTTTTCATTGCCGTTCTTTTGTTGTTGTTGCTGCTGCTGCTGCCACACGCATCTGAGGTAACTTTTTTTTTAGTATCTGGTTTGCCGATAAGCGCACAAAAATCATGTCGAACAACGCGAGCAACAACAACAGCAGCAACTACAACCACAACAACAACAACAAGAGCAACAGCCGAAAAGGCCGACTGACGATTTTGTTTACATTTTTGGTATTGTTGTTGTTGTTGTTGTCAACAGATTTTCTAATAAACCATTTAGAACCGGTTTTCCATTTTTGTGTTACCCATTTGTAATGCAGAAATCTGGGGTAGATTGAAATTGAGTGCATGTGTAACACATATACTAGGTAAATTATATACATACATATATGTATGTATTTTTAACTTGTTGAGGTCCCTAGGATAGATTCTCTCTTTTTGCTTATATAGACTTAAAAATTAGCATAGTCCAAAATCTACTTATCAATAACTAGTTAAACCCTAATTTTTGATTTGATTTAATTAAAATAAACTAAGAGTTAATTTTAATTAACAGCTAAAAACAAAATATGTCAATCAAACATATTTCAATTTATTTTTTAATTTACAGGGTATTTTTCAGTTGGTCACTCTAGTACAGGGTTCTCTTGTTTTTCCATCTTTTTTTTTTTTTTTTGTGAACGGTTTCGGCTTTTGGTTCTTTTTTTTTTTGCTTTTGCTTTGGTCGCACTACCACGAAGAAGAAGCAGCTATGGCAGCGGCAGATTTGGGAGCATCAAATTTCATGCTGCACACACACGCACACATACATATGTATATATATATGTGTGTGTGTAAAATAAGCTCGTTTTAAACAAAAATGAAGCTCTTTCATTTTTAGGGACAGGAATAAAGAGTACAACAATGAGCAACACTTCAATGGACTGGCAAGGGGTTAGATTTTCGGTCATAGATTAGCATAAAGCACACACTTACACACACACGCGCATGCATAGGTAACGAAAGCAAACCACAATGCCCAATAACATTAACAGCGCACACAGAAAGACTGAGTGGCAGAGGCAGAAGCAGAGGAAGCAGAGCAAAACCACTTCTTTCCCTTTCTTTCACTGCATTCAATTAATATAGCGTTGAATATCTGGCTATTGAAAGTTCAAAAAAGCTAGATAAGTCTAGAAAAAGGCCAATAGGCCTCCATTTACTGTCAATAAATAATAAATAATTTAATGGGACTCTGACTAACTGGCATTAAATAATATTAAAAACTCGTTTGTATCATTTCATTATTTTATTTCATTCTAAGCTAATAAGTATTTTAGCTTTATTCGGCTTACAAATTCTGGCAACACTGTTGTTGTTAGTAAACCGTTCCCACTCCCTCACACACACACATTCACTCACACACGCGGACTCACCTTCAATGCAAACGACGTGATCGCGTATCTGTTGGGCAATCTGCGCGTCCGGCATAGGCAGCAAATCGATTAAATCGTAAATAGCATAAATCGATGGATGAACGCTCTCGAAGCGCTGTATCTCCTGCCTTATGGCCAGCGAATTGCTTATCAGTGGCTGCGGCGGTTGTGCTACCAAAATTGAGGCAGCAGCAGCGGCAGCGGACGCTGCCGACGTCGATTGACATTGGGGGGTGGCTGTGGGCGTATGCCGTTGCTGTTGCTGTTGTTGTTGGGGCAGCGCTGCCGCCGTCGCTATCGGCTGTAAATGTGACGGTAGATGTTGATGGAGAAGCTGTTGTTGTTGCTGCTGCTGCTGATGATGATGAAGATGTTGATGATGATTCTGCTGCTGTAGCTGATGTTGCAACTGCAGTTGCTGTATATGCGACTGATAATTGCTCATTGCTGACGAAATTTTGCCAACGTTCTTTAAATTAACTTCAATTACTTTGCTCGAGATGCCGATAGAGAGCCCCAAAACACAAAAAAATAAACAACGTAAACTAAACGCGCACTCTCACATACACACATACGACGCACACGCACACGTACACGCACAGGCAATGGCACAGTTTTCGCTATGTGTGTTGACAGCGCCGAACAACATATTTGCTATACAGCAATTAGGCAAACAACAACAATTGCAAATTGCGAACAACGAATATTGGATATTTTACACCTGTTTCACACATAAATAACGATTTTAAAAAACGCACTCGGGGAACACTTGCACTGGCTGCGGCCTGTGCTCAAGTAATAGTGTGACCAGAAATGGCTAATGGGAAAACGCGCAAGCACACATACTTAAAAGCCCGAATATACCAAATAAGAACCGAATGCAAAAAGCATCGAGTATTTCCTGCCGCTGCGCATGTCGTAATATTAACAACAAATTATTATTAATTAAAAGAGTAGTAAAATGGCCCAAAGTAGACTGGAAAAAATCGGCACCATCTTCACCAGGTAAGTGCGAGCAGTGCCTGGTGAAATGCGAATCATTTAATGGCTTTTGTCATAGAGTACAAGGCCTGTTGCGCGGTGGCGCTATGAAGGCAGAGGATAAACCCATTTGGTACGACGTCTATGCGGCTTTTCCCCCCAAACTAGAGCCCCGCTTCGACAGGCCCGCTTCCAATGAGCCAGTGCGCAACATTTTCTATGCCGAGGATGTGGTCCGAGCGTGAGTATAAATAACTACATTAATTGCCCTTAAGTATAATGTGTATGTTTCCCATCACGTAGAAAGTTGCACAAGCAGAACAAGTCGCATGAGACGATTTCGCTGTTTGATCACAAACGCCGTACACAAAGTCAAGAGTTTGTGCAGATCTACGATCAGCTGAAGTCGCAGGGCGCCTTGGATGAGCAGCGCATTTACGAAACGGCGCTCGATTTGCTCGCCGAGCAGCGGCAAAAGTCGCAGCCCGAAGCAGTCGAGGAGCAACTGCAGCTGGAGGACCCCAACAGGAGTACGCTGCTCAGCGATTTCCAGGAGGCAGATCACCAAAAGCGGCAACAACAACAAGAACAGCAGCAAAAGTCACAGCAGTCGAAGTCAAGCAAAGTGAAACAGCAGGGCGTCAACATAAGCAGCTTGTTTAAAGATTAAGGTGTTATTTGTTTTATATTATAAACTAAATATACAAATAATGTTTTTATTGTGCTCTAAACTGCAAGCGCATCGTTCTGCGATTCGTGACTGAGCTGTGTCTGTAGATTAGAGAGCTTGTTCTTCAACACCTGGACGCCCATGATGACAATATTCTCGGGCTTCAGTGCGCCCGAAGATTCCACATTGAAGAAGAACTTGTTCGGTTTGGCCTCCCAGTTGTAGGGCGCCTCGTATTGATCGTCCTCCAGTTCGGTGTGCTCGCTCTTTGGCCACTCATCGGGCTTCGGGTAGAGAGTGTGACGCATCGAATTGTCTGGATCGTATTCGAAGCACACGCCCGCTGTGGGATTCCATTTGGCGTGCTCCTTGCCAAATCCCTTCTTTGCATAAGCGCGCAGCTTCAACTCCTGACCCTTGCGTAGCTTAATTATGAGTATCTCATCAGTGCTCTCGCCATATTCGTTGTCTTCCTCGCCCTGATTACGCGACGTCACAGGCAATACCTTCGCATTGCTCGACTTAAGATCAGCCGTTGTCACGTGTCGCGTTTGCTCCTCATTACACTTGACATCGAGCGTGAATTCGACGCTGCACTCGGGACAGAAGTCAAGGCAGATACAATCGCGTGTGTACTGCAAACGCTCCACCACATCGTCGGATATTAGTGGGATTAAACCAATGCGATGGGCTAGGAACTCATCTGATAGAACTGTAGAATTAGCCTCCAGTTGTACCCAGTCGATGGCTAGTGTCGGCGTTTCGGCAATGAAAACGCGTCGCAGACTGTTTGCAACGCTCAATTCGGTATCCTCGAGCACAAACTTGACATTGTCGTCCGTCAATTCGGTTATTTGCACGGATGGTTGATTGGCATACGGCATTTTACTGTACTTAAAGAAAATAAACACAAAATAGCGCTAAAATAAAGCAGACCGGTCAGAGTTGACTGCTCGATAATCAACTATCGTTCGTCATTAATGGCATACTCGATTAAATAGGGCAAATACGATAGTTAGTTAAAAATATCCGTAAGCGTAAAAAATAATGAATAGCAAGTGCTATTTATATTAATATAAAATTGAATTAATAGGAAGCTTTATATTAACATTTTTATTTAAGCCCAAGGGCCTTTAATAAGCCTGTAGCTTTTTTTTTTTAAACGCCAATGGTGGCAGCCCTGGTAATTGGGGAAAATATGAGTTGTTATACAACACTAGAGTACAGTGAATAGATCGCGCAACGATGTTGAGAATTTACTCACGCTTTTATTGCAAAATTGCAATACAAGCTAGTCAAATTCCTAAACATAATAAACTAGATTTTACGCAGCTAAGTCATCCCACAAAAGTGCCACAGACTCCAGTGCCAGCGGCTTTTCCTGACACCAGCAAAAACCCCATCGAAATCGACACAAATACAATTAAATTGCTGGAACGTTTATCTCTGGTGGATCTGGATAGTGATCAGGCGCTGGACACCCTGAAGAGTAGCATACAATTTGCAGATAAAATAGCGAACATCAATACGGACAACGTGCAACCGCTGTATACAGTGCTGGAGCATCAGCAGCTGCAGTTACGCAACGACCAGGTGACAGCCGGCAATTGCCGCGAGGAGCTGCTGCGCTGCGCCAAGCGAACCGACGAGGATTACTACGTGTCGCCGCCAGGCAACATTCCATTGGAACAGTAATTACCATGTCCACCCGCCTCAGCCGCTGCCTTAAACATCTAGAAGCCGCCGGCTTTTTTCGCTACTCGCATGACGCACTTTCTCCACATATAGAGCTTCTGAGCCATGGCTCTGCCTATGCCCAGCAGCTGCAGCAGCATTGGCTCCACATGCGCCCCTTGGCTGTGAATTTGGGCAGCATTTCCTCAACCGATACATTGTGTCTCTCACGTTTTGGCTTTGTGCACTCGCAACTTTTCCGGCAGCTCTTCCGACAGCTGCTGGAACTGCATCCCAGCAAAGCAAAGTGTCCCACACTGTTGAAGCAGCAACGCACCGGCGTAACACAGCAAAGTCAATCAATTTTCCAGCCTGCCCAGCCCGTCACGCATTTGATCACCGATTTCTTTGTGGAGCCGCATCGTGGCTTGGAGCACTTTTACAATGTGCAGCGCGAGAGCAAGATCTGGTGGATGCGCTACTCCTCGAATCCCAGTCGCTATGCTATTGTCCCTCAAGCCGAGCTGGAGAAACCAGCTGGCTGCCAGGCCATCGATATTCGCGCTTCCTTTGGCCCAGCCGGGGATGTGACGGTGGAGCAGCTGAGCTTGGTGCAGTTGCCAGCTGAGAGTGAGGACTTCCAGTTGCCAGATGCACGCACTGGTGGTCCACAATTGCCCGCTGTGATACGTTCGGTAATTGAGCTGGAGCCCGCCAGCTGTGCGCTGCTGCTGGATGGCTGTGATCATGGTCGAGAGGCGCGTTCGCTGCTCCTCAATCGAGTGCTGGCACCCTATCAATGCGCCATTGCCGGCATACAAAAGACTGAGCAAATTCGATCCGTGGATCTGCAAGATCTATGCGCCCACGTTACAGATGTGCTGCTGCGTGCCAAGCTGAGGCTGCAGCAGGAAGGATATATGCTAGCGGCGAATGCTAAACAGTTGACACAACAGATAGAGACGTACGATCGCCTGGGCGTGCCCTATGCCCTGCTCCTGGACGAGCAGCAAACACTAATCAACGGATTACTGCAGTTGCGCAGCCGGGACACACAGCTGGCGGAGACAGTGCACATTAGCGACTTACCTGACTATTTGTTAAATATATTTAGAGACTATTAGTTATGTAATAATATTATTATGCTAGATTTACTGTCTGTACTTTCTATATTGTTTTATACCATCCGGTCAACATTCGTGCGTAGGCAGACTGGACTGTTAGTATAATATATTTTCTTAAATTGTTACATAAAGTCGCATAGATACTGGCGCACATTGAAGCCCACCACTTTGCCAATGTGGACGACGAAGTCCAGGCCGACGGTGCACTGCAGCTTGGCGGAGCCATCCATGATATTCTGTTCCCCAGAGACAAAGCTAAGCAGCTTCAAGTGCACCAGCGTGGAGATCTGTGAGAGTAGATTGCATGTGAGGCCCACCTTCTCATCGAGTATGGCGTAGAAAATGGCTAGTAGGCGATCAATGCTAAAGGATTTAGGGCCCAGCGTCGTGGACATCTTGTCGACATTCTGAAAAATTGGAGCAGACATTAGAGAATGATTGAACATGATCTTAACTTTTATCTACCTTGGCTCTGGCATTGACCGTTTGCATGCGCTTGCGTTGCTTGCCATGATGCTTGACGAACAGACGCTTGTCCTGCTTGGCGGAGTTGTGGCTGGCGAGGAATGCAGCGATAAGCAGAAATTTTCCATAATAGGGTAACTCCAGTGATTGGGCCAGCTTGCGTACACTCTGATCCTCAACGGCTGGCTCGCCGGGCGGCTTATCTATGCGCATATAGATCTGCGTCAGGGCGGCACGCAGTGGTCCAGCTATGTGCCGCCAGAGACGCGACACATCCGTGCACTCCACACTGCCATCCAGCACGGGCTGCAAATAGATGGCAAAACACTTGCGAGCCGTCAACTGCAGCTCGGGCACATCACGGCAGGCCTTGTAAAAGACGCTCAGAAAGAGATTCAAATAGTTGCTATAGAAATCGGGAGTCAGTGCCTGTTCAGCCAGTTGCAGTTGATCTTCCTTCATTTGTTGCAGCATTTGTCGCCGCATCTGGTCAAAGTCGCTGCTGAGTATGCGCAACGTTTCTGCCTTATTGTACTGTGCCAGATGCAGACTGATGATCTCACTGAGACCCGTCTTGTTGTAGTACTTTTCGAAGGGCAGTTGCGAGAGCAGCAGCACGCACAGATTGAGACCTGTTAACTGCTGCAGGCGCAACAGCACTGGCAGCACATTTGCATCCATGTCGCGCAGTCGTTCTGCATTGTCGACAGCTATGAGAAATCCTCGAGCATTGCTTCCATGCCAACGACGAAGTTGCTCTACAAATTCCAACATATTATCCGCACGCAAAGACTCTGTACCCATCTGCTGCTCCGAATGTTCTTGTGAGAGTGAATCCAGGATATTCTCGAGCAATATTTTTGTTGTATAGCATTCGATGGCATTTAGCTGGGCAATTCGCACCTTTTGCTGCTGTTGACATTGCTGGAGGAAGGCTTTGGTCAGCGAGGTTTTGCCGGTCCCGCTGTGTCCGAATATATAAATAGCTGGTGGATATGCCTCATTGCAGTCGCCAATTAGCTCAGCTAATGTGCTTATTGCCGATTCACGGCAAGGAAATTGCGGCTCCAATGCAGCGCAAATGTTTTCCATTTGTTTAGATTCTATCAACTGTGGCCAGCTGCCGGCATTGCGCGCCAAATTCAAGGGATGCATTAAGAGCTATACTACGATACCACTTTTCGATGAATGCCTTATTGCTATCGACAATCGGTAACTATTCAAAATGAGTAAATTCAAATGTTTAGTTTGCCGGTTTTCGCGTATTTAATTGAAAAACTAAGTTTAATTGAACAAAAATATATGCTTAACACAACTGAATGTTAAATACTTTTAACAAACATATATATTAAGCTGTCAATGTACATATGTTCAAGCCGAAAAATCTTAGTAGCTTACTGAGATTGTACAACACTTCTCATATGGATTGAACGATTCAGCCCTAGACGGCGGCAGTCAAATAGTTCACATCCAGGCATACATATGTATGTACGTCGCGCGCAGCTCAGTAACATTGTGTTTTGTGTATGAAAACTAAATTCGAATTATATTGCAAACGCTGCAATAATTTATTGTAAACAATCAGCTCTATGTAGTATATTGTTGCAAAGCGGCGCGCCTTTACATATATATATTGAGAGTTAGAAGTTGTGCCGCGTCTGTGTATGTGTAAATGTATATGTGTGACTGCGTATGTGCGTTAGGATAACTGCACATTTACATTTGCGCAGCGAATTTAAACGGAAAGGAACAGTTACTGCGAATATCAACAGAAGACGGAATTGAAACAAACAACATG